CAGCAAATGCTGGCTGGGGAATTCTGGGAGTTGAAGTCCAGACATCTTCAAGTGACCAAGGTTGAGAAACACTGGCATAGAATCTTAGCTAGAGGTTCTCCCAAACCCCTGCGAACCCCCAGCAGCCCACCACCCCTGGATGGAGTCTTGAAGCACCTGTGGTGACCATAGTTCAGCTCTAACCATAGGTATCTGCAATAGGGGTAAGGAGGGGGGGGGAAGTGACAAAATAAACATGTCATAAAATGAAATCCATGACTTTACATATCTGCATCCCATACTTGAGATGCAAGTGTTTCATCATTTCTATGTCGCCATAGTTCGGAGTGGTTGCCTGTGTCTGCTTTAAAAATAGGAAATCTGGGCCATCATTAAGTAGTAGTTATGTATCTGCAAGAGCATTGCAGAATCCAATCAGTCCACTTCATTTCCTTCTCTTGCATAAGACCAGGAGGGGCTTCAAAAATTTCAGCAACGGGTGCCTGGTTGCTGGGTGGGCATGACTATGATGGGTGTGGCCTAGTCAGCCTCATGCAACAAGGTGGTGGGGCTGTGTTTTCGCCTTTCCCAGGCTCCGGAGGCTTTCCTTTAGCCTCTGGAAGGGCGAAAACTGCTTCCCCCGGGCTTCGGAGGCCCTCCGGAGGCCAGAAACGGGCTTGTTTCCGGCCTTCCAGGACTTCTGGGAGGCCTGTTTTTCTCCTTCCATGAGGCTCTGCACTGGCCCCGCACTTACCCCAAATCCAAAACGGGCTGCATGGAGACTCGTGGGAGGGGCATGGTGGGAGGGGCCAGCCAGGGGTTAGATTTGGAGGTTCTCCAAACTGGCCATGACATTAGCTACGGGTTCTCCCGAACCCGGGTGACGCTGTAGCAGCCCAACCCTGATATTCAGAGGAGCAACTTAATGGGGATCTTTTCCCTTCCCTCCAGAGTTTCAAGCAACAAAGAACAGGAAGATTTCCCCATCACTCATTGTGGAGTGATGGGACTCTCATTGCTTGACACAGTTAGGGAATGGAGCAAAACAAAAATGGTTAAGATGCATTGATCACAGAATTATAGTTGTTTGGAGACTGGAAACAGCAGGAATCTCTAAAGTAAAATTGCATTTGTTCATACTTTTACCTTTAGAAATTGGTATTTTGTGCCTTCATCCTGTCACTAGCTTGTTAAAAGATGGCAAGCAAATCCTGTTTATCATTATGTGATTGATTAATAGATTGATAGATTGAATAACTTAAAGCAAATTTGTGCTCAATCTAACCTTGTGGGGAAACAACAAGCACAAAAATAGTTTATACAAAAGGAGAATTGTGAAAGCTTCTTGAATGTCTCCTGAACTTGAGAAGGAAAATTTTTAGCAAGTTAATCTGATTCTGTTTTTGTGCTTTTAATCTTAGAGAATGCCATTAAAGAAAATAAAACTCCCCCCTCCCTCGAATATGTGATGCTGAATTCCAAGAAGACAATCTTGGAATTCAGTCTTTGATTTGATTATCCTGTGATGGTGCCCATGAGTAGCATTTGTGCCCCTTGATATCTAGCAGGCTCCCTGAGCCTTCAAATGTAAGTTGTTGTTTTT